ACCTTCTAGCTTTTCTGGTTCTCGAGTTGAAAGTGAGTGACAAAAAATGCGAACACACAGACACCCACACGCACAGCCTCTTCCCAATATGCGTTTTAGCAATTCGCATATATACAAAAACGCATAATAAAAACCGTCAGAACGCGCCATCAATAAATAAATAGCGGCGCACACCAGAGCAGCCGGCGCGATCATGCTTTTTGTGCAATTCCGTCCACTGAACGATTGCCTGCTAATGATTTTCACTGCTTTGCACTTTCATCTGTGCAAAACCAACTGAAACGTTATGTGGTTCCTAAGCTGCGGAATTTCCCACTAAAAATTTCACGCACCGGTGCGTGAAAGTTGAATTTGAAACCTCGGATGGTGAATATCCTTCCAAAATTCCAGCTTCCTAATTTTCTGGCCTTCGATTTTTGCGAAAAACATTCACGTAGTCTTAAATAAGACACCGTCATACTTAGGAACTGAATTCGAGTTTGTGAAGTCTCCGCTTAAGTAGGAAGCATCCTCCTGAAATTTTCAACACTCTTCTGGCTCCCGAGATAATTTTTCTCACCAAAACTTAGCGAGGATGTTGAGACCCGGAGGCACTGAAAACTAAATCTGCAGTTCACGAGATAATGGTTTCCCTGCCAAAAATTTCACGGAGCGGTACGTGGTGCCCAATGATGTGCTAAGACTGAATCTAAATTTGCTGCTTCGTACGCTGGTAACGGACATAACCCTAAAATTTCGCATTTCCAACTTTCACGGTTCCCAAGATAATAGTTTCCCCGCCGAAACGTTCATTGGGCCGTACGTGATATTCTGTCACGGGAAGGCTGATTTTAAATTTGAGAAATTTTATGTGGTCAGGGGATATTACCGTGAAATTTTAAGATCCTGACTTTTATGGTCCCCGATGTAATAACTTTCCTGCTAGAATTTTCACTGGGACAGTAGGTGATACCCGAGAGCGCGGGAACGCTGAACTTAAACTTGCGAGGTCGTAGGTGGGGGAAAATTATTACTCTAAAATTTCATCTTTTAAGTTTTTGTGGTCCCCGAGATAACCATTTCCCCGCCAAAACTTTCACGGAGCTGTACATGTTACCCGCAGATATGGGAAGACTGAATTTAAATTTGCGGGGTTACACTTGGGAGGGTAACATTCCCTTAAAATTTCAGCTTTCTAGCTTATGTGACCCCAGAGTTGAAAGTTGCGAACAAGACGCATTGGAGACACACACACACACACCCAGACAACCCCGTGACAATATGCGTTTTGTGCAAATGTTGCACAGCACAGAACACATAAAAAACGTTTGGCCCTATTTCAGATGCTGCTCAGATATTGCGCTGCAGAGCTGCGACCACAGCTTACCAGTGGACACATATCTCGAAAATCTCTAAAACAGTTATGAGAACGTACACGCGAAGCGACGGGGAGTGAAGGAGGTTCGGACTCGACTCTTGCTGGCGCAGACGGCAGTGGAGGTGCCGCTGACTGAGGTACTGGCGGTGAACATTTCCCAGCTGATTCACTCATCTCGTCAAGAATTTTCAAATGTTGATTGTGAAACAATTTACAGCGGAAATTCCAGTTTCTCACGTGATTTATTGTATCCCGGGAGATTCCTGGAACATTCAACAGATCTCTATTGCGTCGAAGAGGACTGACCCTAAATAAGGAGCAATCTGCGGGAACAAACATGAAGAACCAGAAAGAATGGCTCAAAGATTATCCAGGATATCAAAATTAAATGGAAAGCGCTCGAACTACAAGAAGGAAAAGATAAGACGCTAAATTTAAATTATTTGTAACAACAGAGGCAAAGCTGTGGGGGCCCTTCCTCAATTTTTGAAGTGAGTGGAGGGAGGAGGACGGGTGCTCAATTTGCCGGGAACTGAGCAAAGCACGAGGCAAGTTATAAACGATTTAAAATTCTTGTTTTCTTATGCACTGTAACGAACAGCGTAGCATGCAACGGCGAGGCGCGACGGGAGAGAGGGAGTTGTGCTTAATGCTGAAATAGCATCAAAATCACGAAAAATGTGGAAAGCCTCATTAAGACGTGCCAAGACATAAAAAGAGGGGCAGAAGTTTAACCGGGCACTAAATTAGCTAGGCAACAGGTTAATTAACAAAGCGTCAGAGAGAGCTGGATCAAAAGGATTTTGAAATTGATTCAAAGAGGCAAAAAAAAACCCAGGTTGCAACGCACCAGGCCTGCCGGTGCGAACATGCGTTTTTGCGCTAAGCTTGCAGATCGATAACAGCAGGAATGGCTCCTGAGTTGTACTTTAACACTTAGACTCATATTAACTGTATTTTGGCCTCTTCCTGCGTGCAAGGGGGAAGGGTGCCGCTGGGATGCAAGTGTTGCATTGTGAGGCCGCATGCACCTCCAGCGTGCATGATTATCAGTTTTTTGCATGAAGCCCAGTCATTTTCCCGGTGAGTGCTCGCCCACTGAAAAAATTAAAATTTGAAGGAAATCCGAAGAGGATTATGAAATCTGCAAAATGCACTCGCTTTTGAGTTCGCGATAAAATTGATATCGTGTCTGCGTGCATAGAATTTCATCGCCAAGCTGAATTAAAACCCGACATATATATATATATATATATATGTATATGTATATGTATATGTATATGTATATGTATAATATTGTTGCAAAGTTTCAGCTCGGCAGCTTGTCTGGTAAGAGAATAGTCACTTCGCTACAAATATCTTTGAATTGCCCTAAGTTGTGACGCAAGTGCAAATCGAAACTCGGTTTAGATATACGATTTTCTATATGAATGATAAATACTCTGACAAAATTTCAGTTACCGTTTTCGGCTAGTTTTCGACTTAGCACAGTGCCAAATGCGGACTTTGACGTGATCGTACGCGCGATAGCTAGAATTTGAAACCTTTAACTCATACATGCACAAAGAATATCTCTGCAAATTTTTAGCTTTCCATCTTGTCTGGCCCGCGAAATCTTTTCCCGCCAAAGAATTATGCATATTTTTTCCGGATTTCCGTACGCGAGATCTCGGGCGTATGAACGAAGATTTTAAAACGATAAAGTGACACATGGGGTGAGAATATGCCCCCAAAATTTCAGTCCTCCAGCTTTCCTGGCTGCTGAGTTGAAAGTGGTGACAAGGTTCACTCGTTTCCGCATGCACACACACAGACGACCTCTCGACAGTATGCGTTTTTGTTCGCTGTAGTAGCGCTATAGAGATGCATAGCAAAAACGCATAAAAATGAAAGAACAAGAGAGCAGAAACACGACACGTTAAAACATGCAGCACTTTAGTGAACAGAACCAAGTGAGATATCGGGACTGCAGTGTCCTCCGCCACTGTGGCAATCCAGAGATGCAACAGGAACCGACGCTGGTAAGTTCTGCTCCCGAAGCACCCAGCATAACTGCCTGGTGAATTTGCTGGTATGGGTTGGTAATAACATTTCTGTACTAGCAGTGACAAAGCGAAATGCCAGCAAGAGCAGAGGGCGATGGGGCGGGGAGAGGGAAGGAGGGAGGGAGTGAGGGAAGAGTGTTCTGGCGCCCCCAAACCAAATTGCCTACTTCATTTTCACGCTTCATTTGCGTGCGATATTTTTAACGCTTCTGAACTGCTTTTGCTATAATGCGATTTAGCAAATCTCGGTGAATTGAGGCCCACGCTGACTGGAAATTTTGCTAATTTATCTATGTTTTATGCTCCCTTGGCTACTTCACGTTAGCCTTGGACAAATCCCACGCACTCTCACTTGCACTTTTAGACGCTTAATTCGATTTCCACGGGTTTCTCTGATGGATAGTTTTGGAACTCTTTTGGCAAAAGCGGAGGGTGAGGGGCGCTCTCTCCTTTCGCCTGTCCTGGATATCTCGCTCATTTGTAACGCACGAATTTGAAATGGGTTGGATATAAAGCACAAACAGAGTTCGTCATGTTGCCAGGTAGTTCATTTTTGCTAACACGAGCTGGCTATGTGTAGGATGCTATAGACGGGAAGGGAAGCAGCTACTGGAGTGACTGTCGGAGAGGTGGTGACCACGGCGGAGGCAGTAGCTAACAACTGCGAGCAGGTAGCCGCCGGGACAGGAAAAACGGCGTTCGTTGCGTTCGGCTACGTAACAGCGAGCACGGCAACTTCTGCCGACTGATGGGCCTGCCGACTGAGATAACAAATTCCGGCGCGCAGTTATCGTTTCAGGACAGAAGCAACTGACAAAATGCCAGTGCTCACTGTGCAGCACTTCCGCGTTCCGCAACCGACAAAGTGTGGAATTCGACAAATACTGGCGTCCGAGAAGCGCGCAACGGGGCAGTAGCGAAAGCAGAGAGAAACATCTGGCCGGCAGCAGCGAGCGGGTTTAGAGGCACAGAGGAGCAGAGCGGACTGAAAACCGGTGGGTGGCAGCTGCCGGTGCTGGTGATCGCGGTCTCGAGTCGTCCACCATCTCCCGCACCCCCCTTTATTATTAGGTATTTCACAGAAGTCATCTTTCCACTATTCACTCACGAAACCTCCGCTGCGTCGATGGCCTGCCTGTGAAATTGCTGAACCTAGTTTGCCTCAGCCGGGTTCGGCCAAAAACGCTGCGCCTCCGGGCCCAGCAGTTGTGTGCACTTTAAACAGAAACAGTCAATCATCGTCCATTTCCAGCTACGATCTCCGGAATCCAAAAGTGCTTGGCCCAGCAGTTCCAGTTTTTGCAGCCCCAGACGCGTGCAAACGCACGCTGCCGCGAGAGCACTTTTCGGCAAATGTGCATATTCGCCCGATGCTGCAGTCGACGATGGCGCTACTGCGATGAGTTTTGTACGGTAGCGGACATCCCGAAGACTCCACTGGACAGACAGCACGAGAATCATCTCCAGCTCTTCACACTAATACAATAATTATTGCCCTTTAATTTTATATAGCACTTCATTCGAAACACATCCTTCGTCAGTGTTTTTTCGAAAGCTGTACAATTTTTTCGGAGCAAGTAGTTGTTCAGCGCCCACTTAGCCCAGGCGAACGGCGACTCATTCTGAGCGGTTCAGGCCGATCACAGGTCACACGTGCTGCATTTCGGACCAGCAGGAGGCTTCAGCGAAGGAGACGTATTCATCCAGAATGCAACAAGCACAAACGTATTTGCGGTGCCACTTCGCTGCCATCTTTTCAATCGGCATGTGCCCCGAGGGCACCGCGCCGACAACAAAAATGAAACTTTTGTCATCGTCGTAATCGAATTGCAAATGCTTTGCCAACCAGAACCTGTATTCCATATCAGTTTCACTATCGCAGATGAATGAAAGGGATTTATGGAAGATGGCCGGGAGGGCAGAGCGAGTGGCTTTGTCGCCAGCAGCAAATCCACACGGAACAGAATCCACTCTCGTTCCGTCTCTAAAACAGTTTCGCTCTTTTTCTAACAAATGCTGCGAAATTTATCTTCTGAGCGGCAAAGCTTTGATTTGCTACTGCCCTGCAGAATAATTATTCTCGTTATGAGGAGGACACACCATCACAGCCACCAGCATCGTTTTGTCATGATTACTGCCGTAACAACAGTATTGGCAAATG